ATAACCCCCGGGTCATAACGTTCTGATGAGTCGCACCGCATCATCACCTCTGTATTGACCACTATAATCATGATCTCTGTATTGACCACTATAATCATCACCTCTGTATTGACCTCTATAATCATCACCTCTGTATTGACCTCTATAATCATCACCTCTGTATTGACCTCTATAATCATGACCTCTGTATTGACCACTATAATCATCACCTCTGTATTGACCACTATAATCATGACCTCTGTATTGACCACTATAATCATGACCTCTGTATTGACCACTATAATCATCACCTCAGTATTGACCTCTATAATCATGACCTCTGTATTGACCACTATAATCATCACCTCTGTATTGACCACTATAATCATGACCTCTGTATTGACCACTATAATCATCACCTCTGTATTGACCACTATAATCATCACCTCAGTATTGACCACTATATGCAGGCGATGAGTCACAATAACGTGGCTGAAGTATGTTGACCAGACCACACACTAGAAATTAAAGGGACGACGACGTTTCGGTCCGTCCTGGACCATTCTCAAGTCGATTGTGATAAGGAGGTAGGGACCGGCAATAAGTAGGCAAGAGAGAGCTGAGGAGGAAAGTAAGGTGTAGGGGATAGTAGTAATAATGAGAACTGCAGAAGGCCTATTGGCCCATACGAGGCAGCTCCTATTATAACCACCGAAGGAGATAGTAATAGGAATAAGAAGAGGATAGCAAGGGAGCATAGGAGAAGACAATGAACAGAAAAAGGGAGAAGAGAGAAAGAAAAGGAAAGAGAAAGAAAGATAAATGGAAGGGGTAAGCTTATGTTAAGTCACGTTTGTTAGAAAGATTAGAGCATTTGAGTATATGCTGTGACAGGGAAGAGTCCACAGCAACAAAGCCAGGACTCAAGTTCATGTTGGGTACATTGTACCCAAATTTGTACATTGTACTTCCCCGAGCTCTAGTTGCCTGGGAGTGTGTGTGGGAGAGTGTGTGGGAGTGTGTGGGAGTGTGTGGGAGAGTGTGTGGGAGAAGGGAAGGAAGAAGCAGTGAGGAGAAAGAAGGCGTGAGAAGGAGGAGAAGAAAGATATGGGGGAGAAGAGAAACAATCACAAAAACAAATTAGATGAGATTGGTTGCATTAGAAAGTGAGCGAATTGAGAAGGAACAGAGAAAGTGAGGGGGGGAGGAGTAGGAGAGACGGGAAAGGAAGAGAGACAGAAAGACAGGAGAAAAGAGAGAGAGAGAGAGATAAGGAACAAAAGGATGGACAAAGATAACTATCTCCTCCTAATGTTGCTAAGCCCTTTAAGCGACGTCAGTATTCTCCTGTCACATCTACTCAGTGATGAAGACACAAGCAGCGCGGCCAGAGACACACCTGGTTCCTCCACTCCCATCATTAAATACTCATTAGCAAGATTTGCAGTAATCAATCTTTCATATATATATATAATATATATATATATATATATATATATATATATATATATATATATATATATATATATATATATACATATATATATTATCATTTGGTTCAGAATTATCCTGAGTGCTCCTAATTAACGTTCAAGAGTTCACTTTTACTCCAGAGAGAGTTATAGTAATTATCTCCCAGACCTAAGTTTTACATCTTAATTATAGAGCTTAGGATTATTTAATAATAAGCGCCGATAAACTATGGCAGTTCCAATTTTACCGCCTGTAACATTTCTGACAATTTCCACATTGTTTATAATATATTCTCGTAGTTACTCGAGATATCTTGGTGGAGCTAATACTGGCATTATCAACCACGCCCACACAGTCACCCACGCCCACACAGTCAACCCCGCCCACACAGTCACCCACGACTACAGTCAACCACGACTACAGTCAACCACGACTACAGTCAACCACGACTACAGTCAACCACGACTACAGTCAACCACGACTACAGTCAACCACGACTACAGTCAACCACGACTACAGTCAACCACGACTACAGTCAACCACGACTACAGTCAACCACGACTACAGTCAACCACGACTACAGTCACCCACGACTACAGTCAACCCTGCCCACACAGTCAACCACGCCCACACAGTCAACCCTGCCCACACAGTCAACCACGACTACAGTCAACCCCGCCCACACAGTCAACCACGACTACAGTCAACCCTGCCCACACAGTCAACCACGACTACAGTCAACCCCGCCCACACAGTCACCCACGCCCACACAGTCAACCCCGCCCACACAGTCACCCACGCCCACACAGTCAACCACGACTACAGTCAACCCCGCCCACACAGTCAACCACGCCCACACAGTCAACCACGACTACAGTCAACCCCGCCCAAAGAGTCAACCACGACTACAGTCAACCCCGCCCACACAGTCAACCACGACTACAGTCAACCCCGCCCACACAGTCAACCACGCCCACACAGTCAACCCCGCCCACACAGTCAACCCCGCCCACACAGTCAGCACTCAAAAACGAAAGGGCATGAGGACAAGAACGGTAACAAGAAGGGCTCGAACAGTATATAGGATCGAGGAAGGGCCGCCTTCAAATATCTCAAAAACTGAAAGACTTGAGAGAACACATCGTTCCGGAGTTAAGGGGACTGATCTACGAAGATAGATAGGGAATGGGATCTCACTAGGTGGAAAGCAGGAACTGAATAGAAATGTCAGCGACGTACAAAATATTATGGGAACTGATCAAGCAGATTAAAGAAGCAATGTTTATAGTGAGGAGCAACAGAATGAGGGGGACATAATTGGATATTGGAGACACAAATGAACAGCAGAGAGATATTAGGCGTGGAAGATGGTGTGAATTGTGGTGGGTGGATGCTCAATCATGCAAGCACATCTAGGTGAGTACACAATCGCACACACTCACCTACTCATAAACACACACGAACACAAACACACACAGCCACACACAATCCCCCTGTACACACAAACACACACGCACAAAAACACACACAACCCGACATCACATACACACAAACACAACACGCACACAACCACACACACACAAAACCTGCTCCCCCCCCCCACACTCACAAACACACACAGCAATACACAATCCCCCCCCCCCACACACACACAAACACACACAGCAATACACAATCCCCCCCCCCACACACACACCCCAAACACACACAGCAATACACAATCCCCCTCACACACAAACACACCTACCATCCAGCCCCCCCGCACTCACAAACACACACTCAAACACAAACACACACACACACATACCATTTATCACACCACTAACTGTGCGTGTATCAAGTGCCCCTAATACCTCCTACCCCCATCGCTGGAGCTGGACACACTGCTGGGGTGTTTATCACAATATTGGGCAAGGAAAACTTTGCAACAAACGTTTTAACTAATGGATTTACATCTCCATTAGTGAGATTGGAGCGTCTGTGGGCGTGTGGGCGTGATGCTGGTGTGGGCGTGGAGGTGGTGGTGGTGTGGGCGTGGAGGTGGTGGTGGTGTGGGCGTGGAGGTGGTGGTGGTGTGGGCGTGGAGGTGGTGGTGGTGTGGGCGTAGTGTTGATATAGGAGTGGTGAATGTGGTGTAGGTGTGGGTGTGGTGTTGATCTGTCACATGAAGGTCGTATATACAGGCAGGTGTGCGAGTATGTAAGTGTAGGTATGTGAGTGTTTAAGAAACTTTACATATATGTTAGGCAGAGCACTCAAAGTTGCTATGTCTAGCCGGCTATAAAACCATCAACACCATCCATTCCATCACCACACACACTACCAACTCATCAAAACAACCACCACTACCACCACCACTACCACCACCACCATCACCACCACCACCACCACCACTACCACCACCACCATCACCACCACCACTACAACAACCATCACCACCACTACCACCACCATCACCACAATCACCACCACCAGCTCAGCCGTCCACGTTTCCAATAAGGGTCCTTTTAGAGTCTATGACTGGGGATAATTGCATTAATGTAATTACGACGCCTAGCAATGAACAGAGGGTGAGTTTAGTGATAATTAAAGGCTGGCCACCAGACGGCTTCACTCACCTCAACCTGTTATATATTTGTGTGCGGTTATCAGTACTTATCACCACAACTTTATCCCATGTTGTACCAGCACTGTATCGACGTACAGGTTGTACAGCTGTTGTACCCTTGTGTACCTGTTAGGGAGCAAGTGGTGCCAACAGGAACGTCAAACAACAGAAGCTGTATCCATCTACAAATTCCATAGCAAATATGAAATAAAACAAGAGGGTCATTGCATTATACATCCGATATTTCACACACAGTTGATATCACGCCAGACTTGTCTCCTGAAGCCCATATCAAGATAATAATAGCGGCATATGTAAGGTTGGCCAACATAAGAACGGCCTTTAGAAACTTGTGTAAGGAATCATTCACACCCTTGTATACTACGTATGTCAGACCAATCCTGGAGTATGCAGCTCCAGCATGCAGTCCATATCTCAAGCATAAGACTAAACTGGAGAAGTTTCAAAGGTTTCACCAGACTAGTACTCGAACTGAGGAGTATGAGCTACGAGGAGAGACTACGGGAATTAAACCTCACGTCGCTGGAAGACAGAAGAGGTAGAGGGGGGGGGACATGATCATCACATTTAAGATTCTCAAATGAATTGATAGGGTAGATAAAGACAGACTATTTAACACAAGGGGCACACGCACTAGAGGACACAGGTGGAAATTGAGTGCCCAAATGAGCCATACAGACATTAGAAAGAATTTGTTTTAGTGTCAGAATAGTTGACAAATGGAATGCATTAGGAAGCGATGTGGTGGAAACAGACTCCATACACAGCTTCAAGTGTAGATATGATAGAGAACAATAGGCACAGGAATCTGTACATCAGTTCATTGCCGGTTGAGAGGCGGGATCAAAGAGCCAGAGCCCAACCCTCGCAAGGACAACTAGGTGAGTAGAACTAGGCCAGCACACGGAGCTGGAACAAGAGGCGGACAGGGGCCAGCAGCAGGGGCCAGCAGCAGGGGCCAGCAGCAGGGCCCAGCAGCAGGGGCCAGCAGCAGGGGCCAGCAGCAGGGGCCCACTAAAGCATCATGGAGGCTCCAGCGACCAGCGAGGGCCCAGGTGGGGCTGTAATAAGCTCTTAACACACGTGTTGACCATGCCAGAGTTGAAGGTGACCAGGGGAAAGGTCAGCTGAGGCCGACGCTCTGGTGAGAGAGAGAGAGAGAGAGGGAGAGAGAGAGAGAGAGAGGGAGAGAGAGAGAGAGAGAGAGAGAGCAAGAGAGAGAGAGAGCGAGAGAGAGAGAGAGCAGAGAGAGAGAGAGAGAGAGAGAGAGAGAGAGAGAGAGAGAGAGAGAGAGAGAGAGAGAGAGAGAGAGAGAGAGAGAGAGAGAGAGAGAGAGAGAGAGAGAGAGACTGAGACTTCACTGAAGGAGATCCATCACGGGAGCAAGAGCCAGTCTATGAACCACATACATTGCCCCGCGCCCCGAGGACGCCAGCCATACCCGTCTCCACCCTGGCGCAGGACCCGCACTATACCCGCACACCCCCACACCCGCATACCGACCCGGGCACCGCCGGACACCCAATCTACATCCATATATAGCAAGTAACACCATAGTGTCTAGTTGAAGAGTCGGCCACATCAACACTCCAGTGTCAACCAGTTCACATGTCACCAACAACATCACCCTTCAGCCTCTCCTGGCAAATTACTGAAGCCATAATTTCATAGCTTCCTAATTCCGTAAGTCATCCGTGTCAGCCTATAGGCAATTAATGCATTTTAAATGATATTGAAAAAATAATCATTCGTGCATACATTTATTGCAATTTGATCACATTTGATATTTAAATGATGCCAACATTTTGTGTGGTAAATATCATTTTCGAAGTGCTTTTTAGTTTTTTTAGGATATTGATGATTTTCCAGGATACAAATATAATCTTAAAAAAAATTAAAATGTGCTAAAATGTGCCTAATATTATTTGTGAGGTAAGAGGTCTATTTGACCGCTAGGCTTTCGACTGGTAGGCCTATCGACCACTAGGCCTGCCGACCTCTAGAATCACTAATGATCCAGTCTACCTTAGTTTACATATTACGCTTGTGTTTAAACCCGAGTGGCCCTCAGGAAGAAGGTAAACTCTCACAGTATATCTATTGACCGATGAACTCTCACAGTATATCTATTGACCAATGAACTCACAGTATATCTATTGACCAATGAACTTACAGTATATCTACTGAGTAATGAGTTCCTTCATTATATATACTGAAAAGAAGTATCGAAATTATATATACTGAAAAGAAGTATCGAAAACAGAGCTTCATAAAATTTGAAAGAAGTTGTGGAAGCCACCTCCTCCATCCACAACTTTAAAACCAGATTCGACAAAGAAATCGTACGTCAAAACTGTTAAATTATAGGTACAACATGGCCTAGTAGCTGGGCATGAAGAACTACACCTCACATCCCCGTAGACAATGACAGGTAAGTACTGATAGGTAAATACTCTATAATGTATCTGCTTCTCCACCTCAAAACAAGTGCCCAACAGCTTTCGTTCGCCAATGATAATATTTTAGTATGTGGACTATTACATCTAATACATCTTGTCTGAGATGAATTATGAATACGGTTTAAGATAAAGAAGTTTCTTAGTTACAAGTTATTATATATTGTGGGTTTATGTATGGTTTAATATAAATTATGTTCGGTTACGTTAGGTTAGGTAAGGTTAGGTAAAGTCAGGTTAGGTTAGGTTAGGTTAGGTTAGGTTAGGTTAGGTTAGGTTAGGTTAGGTTAGGTTAGGTAAGGTTAGGTAAAGTCAGGTTAGGTTAGGTTAGGTTAGGTAAGGTTAGGTAAAGTCAGGTTAGGTTAGGTTAGGTTAGGTTAGGTTAGGTTAGGTAAGGTTAGGTAAAGTCAGGTTAGGTTAGGTTAGGTTAGGTAAGGTTAGGTAAAGTCAGGTTAGGTTAGGTTAGGTTAGGTAAGGTTAGGTAAAGTCAGGTTAGGTTAGGTTAGGTTAGGTAAGGTTAGGTAAGGTTAGGTAAGGTTAGGCTCGGTAAGGTTAGGCTCGGTAAGGTTAGGGTAAGTTAGGTTAGGTTAGGTGAGGTTACTTTACGTTAGGTTAGGTACGGAGGTGTTGGTTGGGTTGATTCAGGGAGTTACAATACAGACAGGTACTGAACGAGGCACTTTTCATGTCATAGCTTCGACCCTGGTCAAGTGGACTATAAGAACAGACATATGTAGATTACACTTAGATTAGACTAGCAGATTACTCTTTGTGAACCCGACAGTCCTTTGTCTTGATGATAGGCTGTTTACACTCCACGTTGAGAGAGAGAGAATGAAGCACGTCGCGGGTCGGAGTTCGAGCCTCCAGGTTCATCTGGTAAGCCTACATTACGCTCCTACTCCAGCCTATCATTAAAAATTTGGCCAAATGATCGTTTAACCAGTGGTCAAATTACCCTTATTAATAAATGAAAAAAACAGTGTCTGGGATGCTCCC